AGCAGAGACCTTTCACACTGTTGGTGCATTATCAACTACTGTGTTGATCATTCCTACTGTTTTCAACCAATGGAAGCGGCGGTAGCTGGTGAGTGAACTGCGTTCAACTGGCTTCAACAGACCAGTCACTGTTCGCATTAATGGTCTGTGCCAACCGAACCTTAAGGAAGTCTCTGCAGAAGTTTTTGATCAAAACTCCGACAGAGAGAAAGAGGCTTTGGTACGTGTAGAGCTGTATTCACTGGTTTTCAATTCTGTTGAGGTTTGCGAAGTCTTTTGCGAAGTGATATTCAACCTGTGTTTCAGGCATGTCGAAGTCAGATCAATACTTTAATCTGCTAGAGATATCGAGAAACGTTCGAAGGATTTTCAGCCGGGGAGCTTAGCAAACGCAAGTGGTGGGTAATAGTTTTTGGAACAGGTTGAGATTGTTTCCTTGAGAAGATCGTTAACGATCCAACCGGGTTTACTTCGTGTATAACCTTACAATAGGTTTACACACGGATTATTATGCCGTAAACTTGACGAAGTATATTCAAACACCGATGTTTCATCAGCCGTATGGGTAACTCAAACTGCAAACGCTGTTTAGTGAATATTTGGAGAGGAGAAACAGACGAATCGCCTTTCAGTCTAATGATCTCGTAAGTGAGCCATATTGCACGTTGATGATACTGCCGAAATTCAAGTGGTGCGATATCACTAAAATGTATGACAGGTGGGTGTGAGAAAGTTAGTGGTTCTCAAACGAATAATGAGGACACTGGAACATAAACCAGGTAATGTATTATACCGACACTTTGTCTGACTACCTCTCGACGAATGCAGACATCCACTTGTTGTAGATTAAGAAAGAAATGGACAGTATACACACTTAGCATGTTCGCTGTTGGGAGAACATTGTCCCGCCACCTGCATCCCCTCTCCTTTGGGAGAAAGTTCACTAAATCGATAATGTCTTGTTTATCTGATGAAATGCGACATTCATCATCATCATATTCACCATCATCATCATCATCATCATCACCATCATCATCATCATCATCATTGACAGCGTGGCATCAGTGTTCAAAACCGATGCTTCACTGCTGTACAACCATGATTAGTTGTAAGTGTCATGGTTGTACGTGGGCTGGGATACTGTCAGGGCCCCCATACCTAGACGTTAACGAAACACAATATTAGTGCCATGTTTGACAATCTGTGAAGCAAAATAAATACATTCCCTTGGGAGGTGATAAAGCCAAAATGTTGTACCCTTACTATTCCCGAGGTTTTCAAGCGTCCAATCACACAAATCTCCTCAAACGCCACCTACACCTCCTTACTTTTTCGCTCTACCAGTTCAATAATTGTTGTGCTTCTCCCGTTTTTTTCGACCAAATTTATTCTCGTTAAGTGATTCCCAAATCAGAAAACACAATTATAACTAAGTCAAGCGGCATACACCAACCACTGATGAAGCTGTGGTGTGGCGAGCCTAAGGCGTAATGAAATCAATTACGCATCGTTTCAGTAATTGAATATTTCAACCATATATTACGAGGCTGATCAGGCAAATTCGTGCGTACGCAGTTTCTTTCGGGTGTGGATCTGCTCAGAACGTTAGGCTGGCCAACAATATTGCGTTAGTTTTGTCCCACGAGCGACATGGATGGTGAGTAGGGGCGGAACCGCGTCCACTGCTACTCTGTCTTTTACCGAGAGTTGCTGGGAGAACACTGTATGAAACTGGATGACTTTAAAAATGGTCGGACAGATATCCTTCATCAACCATCAACTTGGCACGAAGGCACCCACAATTTAGTCGAGTGATTAGGGGAGAGTTTCAAAAGTGTCAAAAAATAGTCGTGTGTAAATCTAGTAATGATAAGATATGAATCATAGAATTGTTCGATTATCCCTTTGTGGTGGAATTAGATATCTGTAGATTGCAAGCGAAACCGCAACGCATCACGAGGTGATGAATGTGGAACGGTTACAGACGAATATTTAATAAAAGGAGGGGAGTGTCTCAGTAGAATTCATGCCACTAACAGTTCCAGTCAGATGAATCCCAGCTTATGAAAGAATGTTAGGTATGAAATTTTCCTCGTGCAAAGACCGGCAAACGAAGGAAGAACAGACAATGCTGAATGCCCTTCAAGGCGCAGTGAGCGCTAGCACGGTCAAGACTCGCACATCAGGCACAAAGTGTCCGTCATACTGGGTCTCTTGTGAGATTCAATGGCAAGAGTGTACACTCAACGCCACGTACCACGCATAATAGTGTCGTAAGTACGCAGAGAGTCCACAATGGTAAGCAAACACAAGTCACTGACTGCGAACTTAGGAAGTCCTAGTCCAATAACAGCCTTGGTGGATTGAGGAAAGCAGATCCATCGGTAGAAGATGATCATCTGTTGGTGAACCGACATCACAACCGTGGGGTTGAGATCATGGTGTGCGTGGTACAGGACATGTGATCGGTCTCTTACTACCCTATGGATACTACTCGGTCAGCAACCCCAGCATACACTAGATGCGGCAATGTCTAGTATATGACGCAGTTCAGCAACAAATAAGACAAAACTTGCACCTTACTCTGCGCATCTAAGGCGCAAATGAATTCTTTCTTTCTGACGAGCCGATTGCTCGTTCAATGCGTCGTGGAAGCACGTTTCATTAACTTCGAACGTCATCTACACAACTCCCGGAAAATGTTTCTTTCTCAAACTCTTATATCCTGCAAGGTTTCTGCCCAACTTTCGAGTCAACGTTTACCAAAACATTTCCAAACGCATATAATTTATGAATTGAGCGGCTAGCGGCAGATGTAATGTCGACATTGGCAGTTGATTCCTTAGGTCAATCCGTAGACTTCCGTATCATAGACCAAAGTATTGTCTAGTCTCTTAAGCCATCAACCGTTTATTGGCTGTCTTATTCCTGACATTACTCAAACTAGCACTCCTTCCTCTCTATCATGAAACGCTTAAAAACACATCTGCCTAATATTCTTATGCTAGTTGCAAGATGCTCATCGGGTCACCCCACATATTTTTCGCCTGAAGCAACACATTCGGGTTCTTGGATGCCGCCTACAGTGCCAGGCTTAATGTCACGAAGCTATTCAGTTAAGCGTGGGTCATCTCCTTCATATCTTGGCTTTTTCGACGACAAAGCCACCACTGTTAAATCGGCTGATGTCTGTTTAAGAGGAAAATATCAGATTAAATCCGTATGCTGGCTCTGCACATCTCCAGGCAAATGATGCCCTTAGCAGACAGGTTTGGGCCACGTCTTTCGAATTACTATATCACGCTTGGGGTGACCCAACCCTAATTCGAGATTGGCATTGGACGGATATCACACCGGAACAATGAAACATCTAGATTCCAACGCCAGTGCTCCGATCAGCTGATGTCCTATCCAAGCCTAGTGTTTGGTGACCAAAGCTCACTGTCCACTTGAGTGGTAGGAACTCACATTTACTTACTTGAGCCCCCACCCTGGATAACATTTATCCACACTCCTCGACTCTGAAGCTTGCGGTGAACACTTTGATGGCTGATCACAAGACATTGCTGACGTTTTCTACCCAACGTATTCAAATTATCGATCGAATCACTTCTGATCCCTCACTAAGAGCCTGGGGTGAAAGAAGCGAGTGGAATGATGAAAAAAATGTATTGAGTCTAGACTAATCAAGTACAATCCTTATCTGGATAAAAGATATCACTTTTTCCTGGTCATTTAGCCCATGTGCTAACGTTACTGAAACAATATGAATGGTCATCATAATCTTGTTTCAAAAATCGTTCAGCCTTCTAGAATCCGACCAAGTGATTATCGGAAAACATTTGTTAAAATTTCTGGTTCACTGCTTGACATTTCTGAAGTCTTCAGGGCGAGTTGACGGTTTATCCGACTATTCACTGGTAGTCAGATGACCGTCTAAGTTTCTACCAACTGTCTGGAACAAAAACGTCCAAAAAAATAGACCAAATGGGTTGGATGAGTGTGTCTAGAAGTTATTTGCTGGCAACCAGTGGACAATTGTCACGGAGTTTTAGAGAAAGCTCCCAAAAATTGGACTGAAAATTTCGAGATGCTTTACAAAATGTCCTTGGTGAGCAATTAAACAAGATGTTTCGATGGGCGTTGGTTAAATTTTGTTTTGAAGGGGGAACTGCGGGGGGGGAGTCTGCATTTCTGTGTGCCTTATCAAATTTTCCAAAAAAGGAGATCGTTCCCATTGGCATCACCGTAGCAACAAAAATCCCAGTTTTAAAGTTTACCGAAAAATGGAAACGAAAATCGAAGACAAATGACAATCAAAAAGGTTTCTTTATCGTCGGCGCGTGACAGAATTTCGAAAGATCTATTGCCTATAGTCAGTGTCCGAGCGGGGAAGGAGAGTTTACGACAAACCTTCTAATCTATTAGTTTCGAAAATTCGCGATCAGCTTTCAACCTTAAAATAAAATTTCTAGGATGTGAAATTATATGCACTATCCAACCTACGTCAGAAAATATCACCATTTACTAGGGGTGAGTCGCCGAAATTTTTACACGTCCTCAAATCAAACATCAAAAAACGGCGGGCACATACTTCAAAGTTAACAAGAAATGTTGTTAGCTGAGTGTTTTTGAAGACCTGTCTAGCATTTTGCGAAACAAAAACAAATTAGGCTGCTGCATAAATAGGGAGAATCAACGAATCTCAGGGGTGTGTTGTAAATCTTCTGTGAGGAAGCCACCTGATTTCAAAAGGTTCGGAATATCCGAACACACTATTGGAAGTAGCTGAAAACGGGTTGATTTCCAAACTGCCAAGTGGTAATTTCTGTTGCTTGGCTGTAGGGCAGGACTCGAATGTTTTGGTAGAAAAGTCTCCAGCCACAGAGCGAAATCCGGAAACAGAGAAATTAGCGAATATACACTCACTTGCGAACAAATTTGGTTTTGCGAGAGACTCATCTGGAATCCAGCTGAATCTCTTGTTTTTTATGATTCAGCTGGGTTCCAGGTGAGTCTCCCGAAAAACCAACTTAGTTTAAAAATGAGTGATTATTCGCTAATTTCGTGCAATTTGGTTTCAAGTAGAACATAAGGTTGACGGAAACTCGGGGACTGGGCCTACCTGATGAGCCCCAAGAAGGGCAAAACCGGTCGTGGGTTGTCGATGGATTTTCAGCGACCTTACGGGTAGTGCACTACGAACCACAGAAATTCTTATCGTGCTAAAATTGACATTGTAATCGACCTTGGTGAGTGCTGCCTAACCGAATAAAAGAGCACTTGAGGTCAAAAAATATCTGTTAAAAGGTCTGGATATATTTATGTTGTAAATCGTTTGTCTTCCTTAGGGTAGTTCATCTAAGCCGAAACCTCAAACCGTTTGGCTTCGACCTTGGTTTCAACAGATGTGTTCGAAAGCCGAAAAATATCCACCTGAGTTGCCCAGCGTTGAGACTCCTGATCCTCGGAAAGGTGGTACGGACTAAGACAGATTGTCTAGATAACTTGGCTAGCTTCGCAGCTTTGGTGCCACGATCAAACATATGTCAGTTTGGATGTTGCCTTTCAAAGGAGACTTCAGGCTGATTTTCATGAGCAATCGCTAACTGGAACCCCGTTGATCACAGCTAGTGTATTCAGTCCTGGTCGGCTTCGTTCGACAGCGAATCGAGCATTTGCACATCATCATCATCATCATCGACAGCATGACATCAGTGTTCAACACCGATGCTTCACTGCCGTACACGCGACGGCCGATGTGGCATGAGTTTATTTGTGTATGTGCAATTCATGGTTGTACGTGGGCTGGGATACTTCCAGGGCGCCAACACCTAGACAGGCGGACGATTAGGGCCCTCAACCAAAGCCTTTGTCTCAAAAGCCTAACCGCAAGGCAGCGGTGTTTGGCGGGAAATGCAAATGCATTACCATTTCTACGGAACAAGTCGCCATACATGTTCCAACCTCCAACCTGGAGGGCCAGGAGACTGTGTTCGTCAGACCTCTAACCACTGACCAACCTGGTATGAGAGACTCTGTGAGTGTAGCGGGACACTCTCCAGTATAGCTCAATGGATCGCTGAGGTGTGCAAACCGTCACACCACGGTAAGGTCCAGTCTCTTCGTGATGAGGTTTCACGACTCTCGCGCTTGAGAACGTCTCAATTTGTGCAGTATCAGCTTACATTCTTGTAGTGATATACCTTAGCGGGTGGGGCGGTGTGATTCACAGAATCGTATAGGTTTGCGGCGATGACCAAAGGAAATAACCATGATGAGAAATCAGGGGGAAAGCGGACCGATTACGTCCAGAATTCCAATATAGTGAAGTCACTGATGAGAACACCAGAAAATTCAAAGCAAACTAATCGATTAGAACCGCCTGACGTTTTGACCCCCAACGAAGGCTTTGTGAAGGACAAAATGATTGAAAATAAAACACCACCAAGGTGGAAATTATGTTTAGTGTAGTATCGCATGAGTTGTGACTGAGATAGCACTACACATGTAACATATATTTCGACTCGTTTTGTGGGATACTGGCACCTGTTCTCAGGATTCAGGTTACTTGGTCACTTATATTGTCCGGATGACACAACAGGAAGCACAGTTCGGGGAACACGCTGTACCGATACGATGGGGAACAACAACAAACGGTAGCGTCTCCCAAATGCATGCCCTATTCGCTAGCTCACCCAGATTTCAGGCATCAAATGCGACCTCTTGTATTCTAACATCCTTTACCGGCAACTTCAGTTTGGGCGCAGATCAGACATTTCACAGTAGGTTCTGATGGGAATAATCCGTGCAAGTTTGCTTTTCCTAGTGGGGCACTGGTGTCGTGTCTGTGCTGGGGTAACTGCGGTAAAAGTGGTGCCAACCCAGACGAATACACATGAGAGTTTTCGAAAAATGGACATCCAAGTTGCTTTTCAGTGTAAATCAGCCAATATCTTCCACCATTCGGCTTGTGCTATGCAACGGTGTAAAATTTCGATTCTTGAGACACTTAGTCTGCGAAATATACACTGTAGATGCTGGTGGAATCCACAAATCATGATCAAGAGTTTTACAACTTTACGTTTCATCTGCCCAGGAGCTTGAGTAAAGGCAACGTACCCTGATGAATAGAATGAATAAGACTTTCACTGGCGAGTCGATACAGTGGTTTTCGTCTGATCCAAATTTCAGCTCAATGACCAGTAATTTGGAAGAGACGTGTTGATCTTTTAATGACCAATGGCACTTGAGACGACTATACCCACTGGCAAAGCTGTTTTATCGACTTGCCCACAAATGCAAAAAAGTATGCTTGAGGTTCATGAAGCCATAGTGGATAGAAATACCAACAAGGCACCCGACGAAGATACACTTCCTCAAGAAGATGTCTGGTTTCATTGAAACATTGCACTTTTTGGTGAATACTAGTTGTCAGAAATGTATTAGCCACCTAATCTAGACAGCTAGGTGTTCCGAGTTAAAAGTAGGGTATATGGCAAGGTTTCCAATTCAACTGAGAATTGGTTCCGCATCGGCCACGTCGATATCATCCACGATACGCCATTGTCATCCGTCAAGTTTCATTGCCAAACTAACTCTTCAGTCATGAACAGAATCTTGGCTTTCTCGATAAAATGACTGCTTTGCTCCGGTCCTCATAAACACCGGGTGTTCTAGGGACTGACGATCTTCCGGGGGCGGCACTCAGTAACTATGTTGTTGAACTTCCATCTGGAAGATCATGAACAGAACTTGGCTTTCTCGGTAAAATGACTGCTTTGCTGCGGTCCTCATAAACACCGGGTGTTCTAGGGACTGACGATCTTCCGGGAGCGGCACTCAGTAACTTTGTTGTTGAACTTCCATCTGGAAGAACAGTCTGGCAGATGCTTAGGGAATATGTTCACTTTATCGCACTGAACGGCCTGCTAACTGAAGAAAACAGGTATGGAACATTGGTGCTCACCAGCCAAGTACAAACTACCCGTTTAGGCCTACTTAGCAGTCCAATCTTACCATACATCAAAATGGAAACTTTTAGGGCTGTTGACACTTTATCTTACTCACGAACAGAAGTCTCTGGAGAGGGATATTTGCATCCAAGAAAATACTGCTTGATTCACAAAGGCTAGGGCGGCGTATCTGAATCCCAAAAAGCTGCGTCAGTGCCATTACATCAGCCTTTTCCCAAAAGGTGCCTATACGTGTTACCGGTTCGGTCACAATCCCTCTACGGATGCGAACGTCGACCTCTCCTGACTGAAGGCATTAGCCACCTCGCGGAACTTGAACACCACTGCTCCCTTACTCCTTTTCTTGGAACGCCGTCCCACGAGTTCCGAGAATTGATAGCGTAGTTTTCCTGGGGCTGAAAACTTTTATCACATGATTTGACTCAGATAAAATTCACTACTACGTCGCTCACACAGAACGAAACTTCAAGAACTTCCATGCTTCGACTTCGTCTTTATGACAAGGACTAAATAGTCCATGTGGTAGACAGCAAACAACGTGGCGACGAGGCAAGGAGATTTTGGAAACCAGATTGTCATCGACTGAGGCATGTAGGAGCAACCTTGATGAGATCCAAAGAACGCTTGGAAGTGGTTCAAATCGTATCAAGTCATACACTAAGGCAGGCAA